ATTCAGTATATAAATCTTATTATTATGTATATATTTTATATATTCTGTATATTTTCTGTAATTTTTATTAATATTTTAATATATATTTTTCCATAGGGAGAAAGATGCAAACTGGTATTAGATAATATAAACTTAAGATAAATTTTATATTATATAAATCTAAAAAACAGTAAAAAACTAAAACCTATTGGAAAGATCTAAATAAAAAGATAATACAAATTTTTAATAATATTACTATAAAAACTAGACCTAAAAAATAGATACCAATATAATAAAATTAGTCAAATAAGAATCTCTAAGTAAGAGATACCACTAATTAGACTATTAGAATTCTGATCAGAGAAAAATAATATCAATTCTAACTTGATATACTAAAGATAAATCACAGTTCTACCAGCTACTAGAATTGAAAGTCTAAAAACAAAGCAAATATATACTAAAAATACTAAAAGTATATTGTAAAATAGATGTTAAAGTGCAAGTAAACTCTATAAGAGTATAATTTTGTTAAAGGTCTATAAAATAAGTAGATTAGTTAACAAAGAAATATTCTGAACTTTACAGTTAAATAATGTTTCTAAAATAATAATAATCTAACAGACATATAGAAGAAAGACTTAATGTTAGATTATATAATACTTAGTTGTATAAAAAATCAAATAAATATTTACTTAATACAGTGTAAAGATTAGAATGTTTAAATAGATAATCTTCTAATAGATTATAGGTATGACAACCAATGTAAAACCTGTAAGTGAACTATTTAAATAGGTAATTAAAAGTTGCATATGTGGCTAGTTGCATACTCACCTTGTGCAAGTTATATTTATGTATAATTGAAAATACAATAAAAGTGATACTGCCATAGACATCGATCTTAGAAAAAGTAAATTAAATAAATAAATAAAATTTTTTCTAAATTTTGAACAAAAAATATCTTGATAATTATTATTTTATATTAATAAACTTTTTAATTTTAATTATACAGATATATAAATCAAACTAAAAAAAAAACTGAATATTAATTTTAAATAGATAGTTATTAAGATGTTTTTATTCAAAATTTTAAAATATCTTGATAATTACTTATTTAAAATTAAAAAATTTTTATTCAAATATATTAAATCTGAATATATTGATCGAAGGTTAAAAAAACTTTTTGTAACATTTAATAGTTATTTTCAAAACTTAAACAAAAATATTTCAGTAAATACCTATCAAAAATTAATAAATTTTTTTTAATTTTGATAATACAATTCTATAGAATCAAAATAAATTTGTTAGCGATTTTAGATAAAGAATTGTCAAAACATCTTTACATAAAGTTTAAAAAATTGTATTATAGTTTAATATTATCTAAACTTTGAGCAGAAGATCTTGACAACTACCTATTTAAAATCAATAAACTTTTTTTTTTAATTTAATTATATAGATATAAATTTTTATTAATTTTATATAGCTGTCTGTTAAGATATTTTTATAGTGTGTTCGTTTATGACAGTTAGTAATAAATGCTGCAAAGCGAATTATGTGTGGTATTTTCCAGAGACATCTTGATGTAAATCAAATTATATTTTCCATATTATCTTGCAAATTCATATCCTTGTGAATTATTTGTCATGGATTGGATTTTTATCTTTTGACCGGATCAACAAAAAATCCCCCTTCGTGATTTTTATTCAGTAGATCGAAAGATCAGGTGTAATGAAATCTTTAAGTCACGTTAGGGGAGAAATTTTTTGATTAATTTTTTGTTTATACGTTTCTGGAAACTTTGCCAAGGGTTGCTTATATAATATTTAACCCGGAAAATTTTCCAGAGAACTAACGCAAACTAGTCAGATCTCATTATCCCCTTGAATTTCGGATCTGTTTTACACCAAACTTTTTAATGACACCGTTCATTTAAAAATATCAATTTCTGATCGACAGACTTGATTAAGTCGAACCGAGAGTATTTAACACTCCTATCAATATCGATATTGAAATAATGCACAAGTATTAAAAAGACACAGAAAGGTTTAATATTTTCAGCATAACAGTAATACAGTACCGGTAATATTTTTTGTTCATAGGACAATTAAATTATTATATATTTTAATATTATTGTTATTATAGCTAATGGGGCCTTTGTAACAAGAAAACAAAAACGTTACAAGAATTAACGTTACGTACGTAAGTAAAAATTATGATTAAATTGGGAACGTTTAGTTTATAATAAAAATATTTAATAAATATTATTACATAATCTATTATCTTATCTATATAAAAATTTGTCTAAATAAATAATAATAATACCTCACCCGTACTCAACCCGACATTTATGAAAGAAAAACTTCTCTACAATACAATATACCTAACATAGGTGGACCTAAGAACAAACCAAACCAAAAGAAGGCATTTCCTAACCATTTTTTTTCTTTAACAATTGGTAATTTACTCAATGCAATTAATGGTAATTGAAACATTTGTAAGAAAAACAAATACATTCGAATCTTTTTTGATACAACTACCATCACTAATTCATGAATTAGACTAGACAAGAAAAAAGTCATAAATGTTGCATCACGTTTTGATAGTTTGTGAGATTCTATGGAATATTGATATACATGACGTAATAGAAAACGGTGTACTGGTTTATTCCATTTTCGAGCAAATTCTTCCCAAGTTGTACTATTTGAATTAAAAAAAAAAAGGTTAAAAAAAATAGTAACTGTAATTGATATTACAAATTTGGTATGAACTATAAATACCTGTTCCACCAATCATCATAAAAATTACGATCAGCGAATCTATAAAAAAAGGATTAAATACGTGCTTAATAAACGTGAAATAATTGAAAAAAAATAAAATAAAAAATAAAAATATTACCTTGTCAATTCAGCAAAAACATTACAAATACACTCAAATATAATATAAAAAATCAATAGATAATTAACCATGAAAGGAAATAACATTTGTATCATAGAATTATAAATTGAAGTTGAAACGTTCGGCAAAATAGGGATTATGTATGTTTCAGTGTTGACATATAACAAAAAGAAGGTACCAAATGTAGCTACGATTTTTTCAAAAACATACCAAGGACGAATCCTAATTCACCAACAAAAGAAAAAACATTTTTTTAGTGCAAAGAGTTAGAAAAAGTTAGAAAGAGTTAGAAAGAGTTAATGAATAGAAAATAAAAAGAACGTACTTTTCAGTCCTTGGATATTCCAATTCATATACTAAAGTAGGTACCAATAAAAAATCCATAAAGTTCATAAAAGTTATATTATCTGGATAATTAACATTTTTTGTAGGACCAGCAAGATAACCTTTAACTTGCGTAATTTTTTCTTTTAATTCATCCAGTTGAGCAGATTTTTCAGTAGCATTATCAGATTTTTTTGATTCACCCAGTAGATTTGAATATTCTTTATTAAGATCGGACAAACAAAGGGACCAATCAGACAATTCACCATTGTAAAATGAGTATGAATGTAATTTCATTAACATTGATATTGTATGAAGGACAAAGAACCCGCTCTGAACCCATGGCCAGTTTCTACATAAAAAAAAAAAAAAGGTTAACAAATCAAATATTTATATTTGTCCAATAATTTTATTAAGGATAATTTACCTTACAAATGTCCAGTAAATAGGTACAAACAAGAAAGAAATCTGGAATAAATGTTGAATAATCATTCCAGTATATCTCCAACGAATCCAACGCATTGCGATCAACTTTTGTAATAAGACAGCAAAAAACATAGAACCAATCATAATAGCATCACTAATAATTAATCCTATAGCATCTTGAGAAAGTAACCTAAAGAATGATAAATCAAATAAAATTCCAGCCGATTCAAAGTTTTTTGACCAAGTTTGTATAACATAGAATCCCATTGCAATCCAGAATAAAGTAAAAAATCCTCGAAATGGATCTTGAGCGGATTCTAATTTTTCTCGATCAAGTTGTGAACTACGTGCTTTAAAATTATCCATACGTTTTGCAATTTTTTTTGGTAATCTACTTAGATCATCATCGGAATAGTTCTTTTTTATAATAGTTGATGTTATTGAACCGGTTGAAGATGTAGTATTAAGGGTTTCGGAGGTATCATTAAGAGGTGAAAGAGTGGATGAGATATGTTTTTCAATTGTAATCATATCACCAACCTGCAATAAAAAAGAATATTCCATTAATTGAGATAACGAAATGTCCGAAAACGGCATTTAAATATCTAGGGATGTCATCGGCTTGAGCCAGATAGCTAGCTAGCTTGTATATTTAACTATTATAAAAACCGATTAATGAATAGAGCTGAATGAGCCGATAATATCCCTATAAATATTATACAAACCTGTGTATTGTGTTTTACCATCTTTATGACTTATGTATAAAGGTTAACAGATGATTGTAAAAGTAAATCTTAAATCAATTAAATTACAAAATTACTCTGTTAATTGTTATGGTAAAAAGATATTTTCAAGCATGAAAAGCCGATTCGATGATAATTAAAAAAAGGTATTATCAAATTTATTATCAAATTTTGAAAATTCTTAAGGTTCGAATGTTCGCTTTTATGCTTTAAAATAAGCCAAGAATGACTTCGTGACCACAGATTGGAATTAGTAAAGATTTGTTTTTGCCACGTAGATCGGGAAACAATTTATATAAGACTTAAAAATCAAATGACATGCATATATTAACATGATTGGTAATCTATACAAACCGATACTAGTTAGGATTCTATTTATAGAATGCTGGAATAGTAGTAATTATACTTAAAACCGCGATTATTTTTGTTCTGTGTTATGTTGAGCACGTGAGGTAGGAAAAGCATATGCGTTTGTTTGTTGGTACTACAGTACTAGCGAATTATTCTTCATGTTCGCTCAATCAAAGTTCGAATGATAGAAATTATCCTTAATTATAATAAGAGACGTGTTACCTTATATCAAAATTTGTGTATCTGTTTATTAATGTGCGTACGGACGTACGTACGAAAAATGATATCGCATTTACCTTTTTGTGCTATCAAGAAACCTATATACGTATATATTGATAACGTAATTTTCAAAAGTATATGCTATGAAATACCGTCTTACTATGGTTAGCGACTTAAGGGGAATAGTAAAATCGTATCGGTATAAAGTAAGTTTACCAATCATAACTGGTATTCTCAGGTACATAGGTAGAGAAGTCTGCAGATTGAACCATTTTGGCGATCTATATCAGTATTATCAGTATTGTAAAAAAAAACAAATATGTGAATAAATAAAAATTCCAGAACTTTTAATCGGTTTTTTTTATTTGTAAAAAATTTTTAACGTTTCACCAAGGTAGTCGATCATCTAACACTAATACTAATAAATCAAATATATCGATGCCTAGTCCGTACTTACGAATTTGCAATAGTACAGACTTTTTATAACTAATAATTATAATAATAATAATAATAAAATCATACGTATACGTAATACGTATATATACATTTTTTTATGCTTATTTTTAACATTGGTATGGCATAACGATAACTTAGCGCCAAAAATGGAATCAAATGCTAAATTATTTCGCGGATCACTAATTATAAAATTCTTTATTTACTAAATTTAAAATTATAAAATTTTTAATTCTGACCAACTTTTAACTAATAACATGAAGTTTCAGTATTAGTAGGTATACTTTGATTCCAATTAAATAAATTATTAGGATCATATTTCTGTTTAATTTTTACCAATTTTCCAAAATTCTCTCCATAATATCTGCATTGCCAATTATCTAATTTTCTATCAATTGAATTTTGATAACTTTCAGAACTAGTATAATTTTTTTGAAAGACTAGAGAAAAATTATCTAAATCTTTTAAACAGATTTCATAATTATTCTCATCTAAGACTGCTTCAATTGTCTGCACATACATAAAACCCCTGTGAACAAACGCCATTTCATTTCGTCCAATTTCGTTAACTCTTCCACCTCCAATTAATATTATTCCCACCCAGAAAGTACATTTGAAGTTTTTTATAAATTTCATTAAATACTCAACTCCTTCATAAGATAGTCCTGGTGAGTTAATATAAAAAGATTTAACTTTATAATAATTCCTGGTTCCGGTCGTATTTTCAAGAACTGCATTATACCATTCTCCTTCAACATATGATTCATCTTTAGGTTTAGTCAATTTAATAAGTTCTTGTATGTGAGGTTTTGCTTCATTTAAAGAACCTAGATAATACCCACGAATTTGGAACATAGTTTTATTTCGATGATCAATCATTAAAGTGAAATTTTGATGAAAACTGTTTCCCAATTTATTTATCACTGAATATACTAATTGAGCCTGATCAAAATCATAAGTAAAAGCCATGCTAGTTACGATCTTCTGAATAGGATAGATTTTAATAGTTAAAGTAGTAACAATACCATAACCTGCATTTCCTGCACCTCGAAGAGCCCAGAAAAGATCTGGATATTTTTTAGCATGATTAACTATTGTTCCATTTGCTAAGACAATTTGTGCATCAAGAATATTATCGCATGACATTCCAAATTTTCGCATTATATATCCATTACCCTATAGTTAACATAGTTAATATATAGCCGTTAAAATAGTGGAAAAAAATTTTTTCAAACAATAAATTACTTACACCACCCAAAATAATGCCACCAACACCAATAGAAGAACATCCACCACCTGGAAAAGCAAATACATGCTCATTCAAACTACGATATAATGTATCCAGAGTATTTCCTGTTTCGATTTTAGCAGTTTGTGTGGTTACATCTATGATAATCTTATTCATGTATCTAAGATCAACAATTAAAGTACAATCTCTATCTCCAATACTATAACTTTCAAAAGAATGTCCACCTGATCTTGCAATAACGGTAAATTTTAACTTTGCTCCACATTTAATAGCACTCTGAACATCAAATACATCTACTGGATGGACAAATGCCACCGGAAAATAAACTACTCGTGCATTATTTTCCAATAAAAGATCACTTTTATAGGCAAAATCTTTACGATAATAAATAGGTCCTTTAATACGATGACCAAGACACTTTCGAAGGGTCTCTTCTCCTGGACATTTATAATTTGGAATATGTAAAAAAGCGTGAACAATTGAAATAAAACAATATATAATGTATATATAAGAAAACATCATTGATTTTATTGGACAAACTGAGGTTTATCACGGTAAAAGTGTATATTAAAATGAACTAGGCAATATAGACATGACTATTGTTGTTAGGCGAAACTATTTTTGGTAAATTGCGAAAGTCGAAACTGGGCGAAACTTCTGGTAAAGCTAAAATCCTTGGAGAAAGCCAAACACAACGAAGATCAAATCCTCTAAGACTTTGAAAAGGCTGGTAAGTAAAAATATTTACGTGTAATATTAAGCACAGCATGTGGCTTATATAGAATTGTATAAAAGCAATAAACAAAGCGATAGCCTTTTGGTTTTATTTGGGTACTATTAAAAGAAAACTAGACATCAACTTTGAACTTATAATAAATCAATTCAGCCTTGACAATTCAAAGTCTGAAATCCTTTTTCCTTTAGTAGAGCTTATCTATGTATTAATATTATGGACACGTATCACTCATTTCGTAGAAATAACATTTTACTGACAAGATCACTCACTGACATACAAGCTATTTTTTATAAATTCTACTAACCTTAACTCTAATCCTAACCTGACCTTAACGACAATGTCCAGAATTATTTTGTTGGTGAAATGAGTTTCAGTCAAATAAACTGTCAATGAAATGAACTTAATGTCGGTGAATTGTTGTCGATTAAATGTTATGTCTACTAAATGAGTGTCGTGAAGTGAGTTAAACCGAATTTTATTTGTATAAAATAAACTTTCTAAATATTTAAATAAATTGATTGTTATATTATGATTTTTTCTCTTTAACATTTTATCATTAAAACTTTAATTAAATACCATACATATGTAAGTAATTGTTAACATTATTATTATCAGCAATTATTTTCACAAGTAAAATGAGCGTTGCCTGATTTTTTCGAAGTTAACCCTATTGGTATTCTATTACTTACAGATTTTGGCACAAAATGACACAAAAGGAGGTTAATAGGTTATCTAATTATAAAATATTTAATTAATAGTAACTTATTATTGATTATTAATAGTAACTTATTATTGATTAAATAGTTTAATTTAGTAAAAACTTTATTCAGTGTGGTAATATTGGGTAACCCTATTGACCTTCTTTTGCGCTAAAATCCGTAGGCAATAGAATATCAATGGTGTTAAATTTTGCAGCAATCTATTGAATATCATTTTACTTGTGTTACCGATACTCTATTTTATTTCCCGATGTTCTATTTTATCTGGCCGTCTCAGAACTAATCTTATGAAAATAATTTATAATAGATCAGATATAGTAAAATTTAGATCATTGATCAAAAAGCATCATATATGAAAGTATGATTATGCACGTGTATATGATTACTTTCTATTCTTGCCCCTTTTTAATTTCATTACTTTTTCTATTTTCGCAGTTAGTTATGCCAGTTTTGCTATTTCGCTGTTTTAATTTTTTTTTTTGCAAAAGTCGGAATTAGTTTTGACTTTCACCTATAGCAAAACTTTTAGGTTTCGCCTAACAACAATAGACAAGACTAATAAGCATTACAATCTTTTTATAATTTATTTATAAAATTGTAAATTTACAAATTACTTTGTGTAAATGGCTCTGTATTAGCGTACTAAATATATAAGAATCTGGACTGAAAAGATTATGATTTATAACTTTTGTGATTTAACAAGATGGGTATTTAAGTTTTATTATCCGTTATACACGAAATTCTATTACCGTATTTTGCGGAATCATATACGTACTCCCCTTGGCATAATAATGCCCTTTCATTTTTTAGTAATCTTGATGCAAAAGGATCAGATATGATGTACGGTATATAATGTAACAAATTTGTAAAGTATTTGAATATTTTAGTCAGATTGATTAAATATAAATCGGCCCCTATTTTTAATATTAGTAATAATTTCAATATCAATATCTCCCTTAGAATAATACCATATTCCGATAATAGTATCCACCCGGTATAGTAATCGAGTATAAATAAATATATTTTATTCCACGTTTCTACATGATCGCATGATGATCGCATGACAGGGGTTTTCGACTTATAATCACTGCTTTAATCAGTAAAAACAACCAGTTTTAAACTAATAGTTGTTATTTCCCCCGGGTGTACTTTAAATTTTTATATTATAAGATTTGAATATAATTATTTTAGTTTGCATAATGGTTTTATCCTTGACGAAAGATTTAAAATCCGTTAGCCGTTACAATAGTACTATTAAATGAAGATCTTAAAATTTTTGATCAAACACGATAGTTATTTAGAGCAAAGAACTTTTGTAATTCTCTTAACCAGCGTAATAGTATCATTATAATTAAAGACGAAGTTATTTAAATTTCTTTAAATATGATTTGTTATTAAAGCAAAAATTAGGTTCGCAATCATCTTTCTATTGCCTTTTTTTTTGTCGTATTAACTAAAGTTATTTGAGTCGAAAAACGCCGTCATGACGTCATATAAAATGAAGAATAACACCCTTATTTCCCGCCGCTGCGGGAAATAAATACTACATAATATCCCTAAGGTTATTATTCCGCAAAATACTGTATTTAATATTTATTTGCAGAGAATGATTTGATTGTCGATTTTAAGCACCAAAGGGCGCCAAATTATTGCGCAAATATTGGTAAGGTACAATAGTATTCAAATACTAGTAAAGCACTTTACTAGTATTCGAAATACTAAAGCAACCGTAGTTATGTCGTCACTCGTGCTTGAATAACTGGGTTATTCACGGTATTTATATTTATTGGATTGTACTTACAGCTGATGACCGGCATTTGAAATTTTATGAGTTTTAATGTACGAGAATTCACACATTATCAGGATCCTGGATAGCAGTTATAAATGCATTTACAAAGGAAATATCAATATTTACGTACAGTGCTGTATATGTTATATGTCATTTCACAATCCCTGTTAATTTCAAAATGACATATGTTATTTTAAAATTGCAATTTAACATACATCATATGACAATCGGTAGAACAATACCGATTATATAAAAAAAAAATTAATTATACAAATATTTGAAAATAAGCAAATTATGAAAAATAAACAAATTACGCAAATATTCAAAATAATCAATTAATTGCATAAATATTCGAAAAAAATCAATTGTGTAAATATCGAAGTTACATGTTATCGAAGATCATATTTACTGCAACTAACGATTACACTGGCGATCATAAGTAGTGCAACAAAAAAAAATTTTACTTAGATCATATTACCTCACGCAATTCCGGGAGTATCGGTTAGTTTTTTTTTTTATTTTATTCACTAATAACAACATTTTCACCAATAAAAAAATTAAAAAAATTCAATGAAAAAAATTTTTCACGGGCACGAGCTTTATTTCAAATGCCATGTTGCATTACTTTTGCTTGTTTTTACAGCAACACGACTGTAAAAAAAAAAAAAATTTTTTTATTCTATTTAAAAATTCTCTATCTTCACTATCAGGTGTAACCACCCCGAGCCCTAATTACAGCATGAATTCATTCTGGCATTGAACGAATCAGTCGTTTGCAGGTTTCAACATCAATCGTCTTTCAGACTTCCTGGATTTTTTTTCAAAGATTCATTTCACTTGAAATTTGTCCAAAAAGATCCCTCAACCGACAGTCAATTTCATCCCACAGGTTTTCAATCAGGTTAAGATCAGGGGATTGGGGAGGCCAATCAAAGAACTTAATCTTATTTCTTTTAAGCCAACATTCCATCAAGGTTGCCATATGACAAGATGCTTCATCTTGTTGGAAAGTAATTTCCCTAACATCAAATTCTTGATCCCTGATCGTCCACATTAGGTCTTCATGAAGTATCTTCCGATACAAGTCGCCGTCTATCATGCCATCAACCTTGCAATAGCTATCAACACCATAGGTGCTAAAGCACCCCCAAATTATGATGGAACTGCCTCCATATTTTACAATGGGCTTCACATGAAACTTGTTTAATGGTTCTCCATGACGCTTCCAATAGTACTGCTTACCATCTGATCCAAAAATTTGAAATCTAGATTCGTCAGATCAGATTACCTTTGACCAATCATCAACAGTCTAATTTTCATATTTCTTTGCAAAAGTGAGCTGCTCTTTTTGATGACTGTTGCTCAGGTAAGGTTTTTTTTTTTACCCTTGACACTAAACCATGGTTTCGAAGTATGCAGCATATAGTAGACACCGAAATTGCCATATTTTTGTTTTTTATGAGGTGAGCCCTCACTTCAACAGTGGTGGAGCACCAACAGGAGGTAATAAGGTTCACTATTCTTCTTTGAGTTGGTTTACCCAATGAAGTTGGGCAACCAACCCTTGCTAAATCTTTAAGTGAGCGGTTTGTTAACCACCTTTTTTTAATTCGCGAGAACGTAGAAAAAGAAATATTATGGGCCCAACCTACTGCCCTTGTCATGTATCCTTTCTGAAGTGAAAGTAATACTTGGGCTCGTTTAGTGGGAGTTGTTCAGCTCTTTTTTTTTGTTTTTAATTATCAATAAATCCTAGTATTGCACAAGATGCAAAATTAACAATGAGATTGCTGTTTTTAAATGTATTTATGTTGTACAGATCACGCAATCTGGTCCTTGTTAAAAATAAGCAAAAGTAATGTAACATGTATTTCATGATACACACATAATTATTTTTGTATTGGTATTAATGATGGCTAATAAAATTCTAAAATTAGAAAAAGGCACTATTTGTGAATAAAATAAAAAAAAACTAACTGATACGCTCAGAATTGTGTGAGGTAATATGATCTAAGTAAAATTTTTTTTTGTTGCACTACTTATGATCGCCAGTGTATTACATTTACCTCTCAATACACAACTGTAGTGTCTAGTACAAAGTGCATTGTTTTTGTGACATGAACAACTTTTGGTTTTGCAGTTGTTTCTGCTACAATGACAACTAATACTTTTGTTGAATTTATTTGGTTTCATTTGTATTGAATGTATTAAGTTTTGTTGAGCTGCAGCATTTTGTAAAGAAATAAAATTACCAAGTGGAATAATATCAAGTGTTGGATATTCATTTGTGCCCAACAGTTCTAATTCACTTGCTGGATACTGTTGGGTTCGGAAGATTGTGACTCTGTCACTCCAAAATTCTAAACCTCATGTAACGTATGACAAGTAATCTTTTTGAAAGAGGGTGTTAGATTTGGCTTGTGGGCGGTTAAGGCTTTCGGTTACTTTGAGTCAACGAATGCAAGTGGGTAAGTCATGTGGTCAAGGGTTGTACAGCGATGTTTACAGGAGTTTACAAGGTTAGTAATAGTATTAGTGTTAGTGTTTATTATGTACAGTGTAGTGTATTAGGAGTTATTGTTTAATAAAGCAAACGAAGCGTACTGCTCCTAGGGCCATTTCAGCCTTTATTTATAATATAAAATTCATCACTTACAAATGCAACATTGCACTTATTATTACTTTAAGGCTGCTAAATATTATTTACAATGATATATTTAATTTCTCCAACCATGTTTTATTTCTTTAAGGATGTGTTATTTCCTCTTACATCCTCCTATACTACCCCTCTGGATCCGAAATACCGTTCTTGATCACAAATATAACTTATTGCATTTTGTGTATTTTTCATATGATCGATCATGATATTTGGTATCACAATATTCATCATCACAATACCATGTGTCTAAAATATCGAATTCACATCCAACTTGATAAGAATCACAATTAGGTCTTTTTTGAATAATTTTGCAAGGCAACAAACATCTATTCATTTTTAGCTTGTCAATATCTGGAACATGAATTTTTATAAGATCTCCTAAATTTAAAATTTATATATTTTTAGTTTATAATATTGTTTTATAATGCTATTACTAAAAATAATTGTTGCATCTAATATTGAAATTTGATTATATTTTAATATAAAGTTTTAAAAATTTTAGAGTATTTTTTTCTTGTTTTTTTTATAATTATGTTAATATTTAGAATTAGAATTGATAATCAAAAAGTATATATGAATTTTAGATGTGTTTATATTTCAAATTATAACTCCTAACTTCAGTATTAGTCATGACAAAATTTATAAATTACCTGGATTTAAAGTTAAAGTATGTTTTGTTTTGTGCCATTTTTCCATAATACTTCGAATAAATTGATGATTTTTTTTAACTTGTTGTATTGTTAAATCACATAATTTCTTATAATTATTAAAGCTTGCACAAAATTGATTATTGATTGATATAAGGCTTTCTTGGTCTGAATCTTTAATTAATACGTATATAAGAACAACTTGCTTAAGGCGATTCTTCTAATAATGTATTGAAACTTTCTTGAGATAGTGCTTGGATCTGCAGATATCCGACTATCTGTTAGCTCAATCTGTTGAATTTTTATATCTGATCATAAACTATCCGATGAAATCCAATGAATTCAGTAAATCTATTAAAAATTTGTATGAAATAAATATCGTAAATATATATTTATTTATATATTTAAAATATTTAATAAATATATATTTTATTTATATATTTTATATTTAACTGAAACATTAAAATATTTAATATATTGCTAATTTAAGTACATATTTTGCAATTATATGAGTCATATTTCATGCATATTGCATTATATATCAAATATAAATCTATTTTTTAGTCTTGAGAAAACATTGTTCCAATATAATTTATGTTTCTTTTAAGGAACAACATTCGTTCAAATAAGTCTATATTTAAACAACTACATTTTATAGTCATAAGGTTTCTTGCATTACTAAAAAGGCATTTACTGGCTGTCAAAGTAGCAGAAATATATAAATATTTGCATGCCATTTCACTTAATATTGGCAAAGTATTTTTTTGACTATTCTACCATTTTAGTAAACATTGTGTATTTGAAAGTTTAGGAAATGCAAGATAAAGTTGAATTTCTTTATTTGTTTCAGAATATTAAACAGGTGTATACAAGTGGTTAATAATACATTTTCTTCTTCTTCTTCTTCATCTATCAGTATTGCATTAAGTGGCATTAACTTTGATTTTTGAAATCTTTCATATTCTTTCATTAAATAGGTTTTAGCTTCAAATCTTTGATCATCTGTAGCAAACTCTATTTTTTTATTATGAGGATCAAAAATTGTTGCTAAAAGAGATTCATGAGTTGAATAATTCCAGTAGTAATTTAAGGCATTAAGCAATGCTGACTTAACATTATTTATTATCCCTTCACAGTTTTGTGAAATGTTAATTTTAATTTGGCTTATTTTTTTTCCATTTCAATATCTAATATTTCTGGCTCATCAATAAATTCGATATCTTCTTGTAAATCTAAATTATCATCAAACACAGTATTTAAATCATCAAGATCTACTGTAATTCAAATGTTATTATCAATATTAAGCAATTTTTTTAATAAAGATATAGCTGTAAACATAAATGATATTGTAGCATATTTGCTTCCACCAAGCATTTTTGTAGCATTTGCAAAAAACTGCAAAATTTTAACTAAATCATCCATTAACTGCCATTCGTTTGGTGTTAACATTATTCATTTGAGGTGTTGTGCATCTTTTTTGATTAGAGGATCATTGTTATGATTTAACATTACTTGCATTATTTCAATAGCAGGTTTTAATTTAAGAATTTGAACCTATGGCAAGTATGTAGAATCCCACCTTGTTGGGACATCAGCAATTGCTTGTAAATACTCAGGATTTTTTAGTTAATATTACTATATACTATTTGATCTAATAATGCTTGTGCAGATTCAAGTTGTTCACTTTGTTTGGACAACATAAAAAATTGTATAAGTCACCTTGTCTGTACAACCAATGTCTTAACTGGCAAAAAACCTTTACCTACTATAAGTTGTAAAGTGTATGCTCTACATGCAAGTCAATTAACTTCTTTAATTTCATTAATTGCCTTTATCATATTTTTTGCATTGTCCGTAGTTATCATAAAACAATTTTCATTGATACCCCAATTTTGAAGAATTGATTTTAAAGTAATAGCAATTGTAGAACCAGAATGCAGATGTTTTAATTCATGAATCACCAGAGTAATTTCTTGTATTTCAAATTATGGATCAATATATAAACATGTGACTCCAATGAATCCTGAATTACAATGTGCTGTCCACAAATCTGTCATCAATTCACAATACTTCATTGATTCCTTTAACTTACTACAAACAACTTCTGACATCCAATCATAAGCCAAATAAATTTTATTTTTTATTCCTTTATTACTAGGCAATTTGTAGAATGGACTAAGTGCTAGTGAATATTTTATAAATCCCAGATTTCCTAGCATATAAAATGGCTAAGAATCAGTAACTATGAATTCAACCAAAGCTTTATCTACTTGTTCTTTATAAATGCCATTATTTTTTATTTGATGGGATTTTTCATTGTTCGCTAGTTGAGAAAACATATGATTCATGTCTTTCAAATTTCATAATTCCATGCTTATTCTGAAGATGATCACTGAAATTTCCTATGTCACCATCAGTTTCAACCACATGATCACATAGACTTCCATCTTTTTTTAGTTCTTTGCACTATCCTTTAAACCCTTGGTTAGTGGGTAAATCTTTAAAATGATCCCATATCCAACTTCATTTTCTTGATCCTCCTCTCAACTTTAAATTATTTTCTAGCGTAGTTGTTGTAAATATAATATCCTTTAGAGAAACCTTATTAGGGTTTTCAATAGATAGAATATGTTCGTTATTGTTTTCTATTTTATAGGATTAATTAATGCTTATACACCAAATCTACTGGAGTTCGCTATTAGATTTTTTTTTTTCTATTAATTTATCAATCATATATGATGCTTCATAAAGTAACACACTAATATTTATCAGGTATGTACATAGAGTTTTATAAGATAACAATTGGAAGTTTAATTATTCATCAAAATCTTTTTTTTTAAATTTTTTTATTATTTATTATTACATCACTGATTTATCAAAATAAGCTTTAAATTATCAGTTGTCATTATATTTATCATTAATTGCTCCACACTGCACCACACCACACAATCTCTGAGCTAATTTCAGATGATCTGATGGATATCCGATAAAAAATATTCACTGGATCAAAATAATCAGATATCTATCAGATTATTCAATGGATTTTTTAACAGATCCAAGCACTATCTTGAGATGATCCTTCTAATAATACATTGAAACTTTCTTGAGGCAATCTTTCTGATAATAAATTAGAACTTTCTTGAGTTAAGTTTTCACTAATTGTATTAACTTGAAATAAATCTTCAGATATTTTATAGTCATCTTGAGACATTTTATTCAATAATATGTTATAATTAAAATTTTCATCTTTGAAATTTATAGAATTGAACTGATATAATAAACATTATTAAAATAAATATATATAAATAATAAGTTAATAGAACAATTAAATATAATAATTAATTATAATAATAAATAATAAAAAATTAAATTTATTTGCTTATTATTATTATCATCTATATTAGAATATAATTCATGGCATTTTTCTTTTTTATTCTAAGTTTTTTGTAATATAATAAATTTATCATTAATAATACTGTTATTTTATGAAATAATTATTTTATTTTCATTTATTATTTTGTTGTTAGATTTGAGACTGCTATTAGATTCAAGACTACTATTACTGTCATCAATTATAATTATTTCAGCATCATTTTCTATTAAAATTAAATTATTAAAATAACAATATAAATTAACAAAATAAAATATATGTATAATAAATAAATAAATAAATAAATAAATAAATAAATAAATAAATAAATAAATAAATAAATAAATAAATAATCAAATAATGATAATAAGAGTTTTGGGTGTGGGTTCTATAGCTTAGCGGTTAAGCTCCCATACCCTCCACAGTCAAGGTCAACGGTTCAAGTCCGGCTGGAGGCAAAATTGAAA